CAGCACCATCTGTTGCTGTGAGAAGTCACCAAGTCGCTGTCTGTGCACATAACCCACCCCACAGGCGGGTTCCAACTGAGCATTGTTCTGCTTGGCAGGGAACCTATATGATCGCTGCAACTACTTCCACCTAATTCTACATTAATTCCTACTTAGCCACATTAAACTTTTTGGAATATTTCATAAATCAACCATTAATTTACAAGCCTGACCAATATGAAGCCACTCAGCTGAATGGGAAAGGGGAATGGGGGAACAACCACCACTCTGTTTGCAGTCAAGCGTAGACAAGACGTCACCACCCTGGGAGCTGCATGCACGCGCTGTGACTGTTTCGGAGTGCACAGCCAAGTTTTGGACACATGTCAGTGGCGGCATTATTACAGCATGAATCACTTGTTACCCACCTATAGATCTTTAAGAGAATGGTCCTTGAGCTACTTTTTTCCCTTTCCCTGACAGCCAACAGAGGTGCCTTATTTATAACAATATTAACTAATAGAAGGTGAAGTAACGATTTTTTTTTTTTTGGTACATAATTCCCAGCTTGAAATATCCAATTTTTTTCCAGAAAACATCAGATGATTGAATGATTAAATAACTATCTTCTTTTTTCCCTATGAAACTGATGACTGAGTTGGAATACGGACACATTTGGATGTTTTTAACATCCAATGTTAAAAACATTGGATGGAACAACTACATCAGGTCAAATTAATCTTTTAGAATGGTCTAGCTGACTTAAAAAAATAAACCATTAAAACCCCCAAATAGATATGACATTCTTGCATCTTATTAGGACATCTGACTACAACTGAAAATCAAATGTTATTATATATTTGATAGCAAATGCAACGACATGGTAAACTGCAGATGAGGTGGGAATAACACTGTAAAATAGGAACTAGTCAGTGATGCAGTGTTAAAGGCAGAGGTATTATGTGTTTTAATTTTAAGATGTGCTATTGTGGCTCTTGGATCACTGTGTGGGCTTGCTGCTCCATGCAGTTATCTCAAGAGACACATTTTCATGCTAACAACAACAGCCGCTGCTTTCTTGTGTCTGACTAATTAAAAGGATGATATGCAACATTTACGATGGCTAAACTATATGTAGCTCAGGGGGTGTAGCTGTCACTTCTTCTGGAATACTAAAGCAACACATTGCCGAAAACATAGGTTTGCTTTGTGCACAAGATACAACTACCAATCAAACTTAAGGCTTGATTTTTGGTTGTAATTTATCATTTTACTAATATGCCAAAGTATTTTTTGTTCTTGTTTTTATCAGCTAGGAAATATTGGTCAAATGAGTGTTACAACAGCCAATGCAGGGGTGTAAAAGTATTATTTATGCTTTTATTTTCTCCTGCATATGTTATTGTAATAAAAATTTTATTTGCCACAATAAAACTTCTCTGAATCCATTGAAGCATGTCCAAATGCAGTTGAAACACTTTTATTGAGGCCCTTTAAGCGCTCCCATGTTACACCTTCACTGATTTCTCTGCACCATCTCTCTGTTCAGTGCATAATTTAGTTTCATTTGCTTATTTGAAGTTTTAAAGCCCGGTCCTGCTTTCTTATTCATTTCTGTACTAGCTGTATGTTATCACTGATCAACTGATCAGTGTTTTAATCTGTGGTGAAATTAAGTCTAAAAGTTAAAGTTGACAGAATGTTTGCTGTTGTTAGCCATCTCAAACTTTTCACCATTTCTTCTACTGTCTAAGAACTCAGTAGATCAAGATGCAATATAATACTCGTCTTTGAATTTGGCCGTTTTATTGATTTTATCTTTGCTTTTTTGTTACTTTTATTTGAATTTGCAAAATATTCATATGCTTGAACATTTGAACATAATATTTTTACCATTTATTTCATAAGATGCACAACTTTGTCTTGACTTTACATTATAGTTTGTAGCTGTAATACACTAAAGTTCAAAAGATTTAGATTGTTTTCCATTGTACTGCATGTTATTCAGCTGTTAGGCAATTTGTGACCAACCATCTGTTGGTCAGTAGCATTATCCATTTTCTACAAAAACAAATTGTCCTTGACTTTTTTATGCACAATTGGCCATCTTGAAATTTAACACGCTGGGTGTTATACCAGTCAGATTAAAGATAAATGGTAAAAATGTATTGTTAAATCAGTCAGTGGCATACTTCTGAATTGAAAAAGCCAATTTATAAAACACATTGGAAGAGTTTCTCTCTTCAGTGATTTTATCTCCAATATACTATTTTTAGATCCTGTAGTGACTTTTATTAAACATGTTTCATCTGCCACATGTTTGGGTTTGTCTTTTCTTTTTTAAATACTGATGGTTTCCAGGTGGATCTACAGCTTGAACCATTTGCTTTATCAGGTCATCCTAACTGTGTCCTGATTTATGATTAAAAAAAAAAGGACATCTACAAAAATGTGACTCTTTCATTTAAGGAGAAGAACATATTTGGATTCTGACAAGAAAGAGCAATAAATTTGAAAAACAATTTTAAGTGACTAATTTTTAGAAATTGTCAAACCTTCAAGAGGTATCAACGAATGAAAACATAGGAAGATTTATTGTTTCCTGCTCTTGTGGTTGAACACATACAAATATGTAAAATTACTAATCCTCTCTCCTTATTGCTGTGGCTCACAGAAATAGATAATCAATGTGAGTTTGCCTAAAGCAAGAGCTGAGAATCGTCCAATTAAAACTTTTATAGAGCATCTTGTTTTTAATTGAGAAATTATTAGGAGAGGAAGAAAATATGCTGGCATATGGATAACAAAATGTTTATTTCAAAACCCTCAGATTTCCAGCTTGATAAATATCCTGCAAAAGAGCTGGAGGTTATTCAGACCACGTCTGTTCTGCAGCTCTCTGCAACACAAATCCAGTGGGAAGATGCCAAAGTCTTTTAACGGGTTGAAGGCAAATGAAAACTTCCTCTTTAGTTTTCACTATATGTGCGTTTTCAATGTTTTGCACATTTTAATGTTTTAAATTACAGATGCACAGTGCAAATATGTGCTTTTCTGAGAGATTCCCAATGGGACTGAGTTGCTCTTTTAAGATTCAAAGAGCAGTTTCAGAATGTATCTCCCCTTGTTTAAGCACTTCAAGTCCCAACAGAGATGTTAATATATTGTTTCTGATATTCTTACAGAGAGCTTGTTAACGTGAAAATTACAACTACTGAGGCATAAAAAGTTTGTACAGTTACAATTCTCCCAATTTGATTCCTCAGCAAAAAAGTAAAACACAAACTTCAAATGATGAGACGTAAATTGGTTTGATTTAATGTCCCCAAAGTTGTTCAATGGAAAAGTACAGCAGAGCAGCCATGCAGGGTGTTGGGAATAACAATACAATTGACAGGCCAAAATGGCTTTTCTGGTGTCTTCAGTCTGTCTTTGGATAAAGCTGGATCATCCTTTTGGGCCTCTGGGTTGATCTGCAGGCAACATGCACATGCATACAGCAAAGCACACACTCTGAGCCTGGGTGATCCAACATGGAGACCAGCTGTTATCTGCTCCTCAGCAGCTTTGTGTATATTTACAAACTCCGCTGGCCATCAACTTTTTGAGAGGCAATAAAGAAATACACCAAAAACCATTGTGTGAAACAATGTTTGTGTCTAAAAGATTTTCTTGCTTCTCCAATAGATTTGTCCCCTTCTCAATAGAGACCTGCAGAGAGCAATACTCATTTATGTATACAGTTCTGTGCAAAAGTCTTCGCTCAGTTAATTTTTTTGTAACTTTACAACCAAAGCTATTCATTAATTTTATTGGATTTTTTTTTATTATAGTTCTTTAAAATAAAATGAATAAAAATATAAGTCTGGATGAGATTATGTGGCATTATTTTAAACCGGTTATTATATATGAAACCCCCCCAAAGAGGCTGAATTGAAGCAGCTCTGCAAAAATGTGGGGGCCCAAAAACGTTGCCAATTTTCACACCTGAAGGCGGTTGTGCCTCTAAAAATCTGCTTTTAGAGCTAGAGTTGGTTTGGATGTTTTTTTCCCCTTTAATAAATACAGAAAATGTAAACAGTTTATTTGGTTTATTTTTGTTTGATATTAAAATGTGTTTGATTATCTGAAAATGTGACAAAAAAGCAAAAAGCACAAGACATAAAAGGGAGCAAAAACTATTGTCCAACACTTTACAATCTGACCGTAGCTTTTGAACAAACATTTGTAATTGTAGTCTCATCTCAGACATGTTTTGAAACCCTAATAGAGGCTTGCCTTTTCATTATCATTGCCATTCCTTCTTTTATCTCTGTTGTCAACTCAAGGTCCACCATAAGTCATTCAGTTCACTTACATAAAATGATTCTTTGCTAAGAAAAATAGCCAAAGAAATAAAAAAAAGAGTTTGGTTCATTGTAAGTATAAGGATATACATACTGTCAAAAGACTTATTCTATGACAGTTTTTGTGCATATTTGTTTTTCTTTGCTATTTGACTCCCAACCCCCAATGTTGCACTTTGTGCTGACAGAGGTCTTACAGGGCACCCAGAAAACTAAACAGATGATTAATGACAACACAAGATAAAGCAGAACTATCGCCACAGACTTTCTTGACAAAAAGCACACTTTTTAAGCTTTTCTGTACTTTTTTAAACTGTGATTTAAAAAATACCTCTCAATAGAAAAAGGAGAACATACTTAATTGTAGATGATAACTTATAAGGCCTTGGAAAATTATCCACGTCCTTTAAGAATCTCAGGAATACCCAGTAGCAGCACACGTCAAAGGTTGGTATTCTTCAATGAAGAACTGCAGAATTCAGGAATTTTAAGATAAGCTACTTTTTGGATCAAAAAAGAAAATCGCGGCTAAGCAATCATTGTGACCAGAATGCCTAATGCCTCTCCAGCACAACCTCCTCTCCCTGCCTCCTCTCCCTGCCTCTCTGCCCCCTCCCTCCCGGCTGCTCCCTGCGCTCAGCTTCTCCTCAGCAGCGGACTCAAGGACTTCAGCGACCACGAAGACGCGCAACAGAAGGCTCTCCAATACCAGCGGACTGTTCAGCGCACAAGACAACTTTCTCTCGCAGCATCACGCATGGCTGTACCTTTGCGCAAAACTGAGAGAGCAGCTCGAAAGGAACTGGTGAGACTCTGAGATATAAAACGATTTTTACAAAATCAAGCGACAAACTACATTAGAGTGGCTGAGGACTGAGGAGGGGGGAAAAAAAAGCTCTTTGCGCAAACAAGGATACCCAAATGCGCATGAGGAATATTCCGCTGTAGATTTAAGCTCTGAGGTATAACCTGAAATTCCGACAGAGATGGATCAGTGGGGAGTTTATCTGTCTATGCTCCTAACTTTTGGTAAGTATTAACTTCTTCTTTTTGGCCTGTTTTGTAACCCGCTCCATTCGGGTGTAATGAAAAATATTTTTGCAACATTTTGCAACGTAAGCTTAAAATTGTACTAATGCAAATGTATAAGTGCGGCGTTGAAATGCGTCGCTAAAACGAGGAATCTGTGAAACTGATCCATGGCACAGTGTAATATGGAAAACCACGCAAAATAGTTGACTTGCAAGTGCATATGCTGAAGAGTGAGCAAGTCTGCCTCGGGTGCTTGTGTGCAGGGATGGTTTGACTGTGTGTTGTTGAATCGAATGAGTTGCTCGGAGAAATATTTGTTCTAATATATTTTCTGTCATTCTTTACACTCAAACTAAATATCAAGTGCACAGCTTTACATTTTATGTTGTAATTGCTTTATTATTTAGCAAATCCTTCACAAGCTTCCACTGGCAGCAGAACATCAGTCATCTGTGAAATATTGCTCTCTAACTGAATGAAGCTAGAATATTGATTTTTGTGGCAACCACAGTTGGGAGGAGAGAAACTGGTTCATATTTTCATCTGTTTTGTTTGGAAATATAAAGTTTTTGCTGCCTGACCACTGTGACGTCTTCTTTTCTCTCTTTACCTGGCTCCAGCTTTCCTTCTTAACAAAGGCTGGAAAATGCATTAATGTATTTCTAACCTTTGACATTAATTATTAATGCTTTTTGTTTGTGGAAGTCATTCGTTGAATAAATGAAAGGATATTCCAAGAAATGCTGAATGGAAGAATGTACTACTTGAATCAGCTGCTATGTGCGAAGTGAAATCAAATTAAAAACTTTTGCATGCTTTCATTGTTGTCAAATAGCTTGAAAAAGACAGACCCACAAATGATGTCTGGTGATGTGCTTAGAAACTGTGCCTTCAGAATGCATTCTCACCTGTTAACCTTTTCAGAGAACCACTTTCACTAGGTTTTTCCGTGACTTCATTCACATTTTAAGATTATTAAATGGAACCTGCCTTTGTGTTCACACCCTTTACTCAGATACTTTTGAATAAATGGCCTTCTTACAAGGACCCACCTACGTATAATTTCTTTTATGTCCTGTGAATGCCTCAAAGCTTTGTTTGGACATATCAAACAAACAGATGAAGACAGAGAAAACAGTTTCAAATGAATTTCCCAAACTTGCAATGTCTCCCAGAAGACCAAAAATGAAAAGAGTATGAAACAACTTTAAACCTGCTGAGACAGGGGGATCCATCTGAACTGACCTGTGGAAGAGCTGCAGTGATCCACAGCTGATCACATCAGTTTGTCCTTTTCCCACAAATTTAATCTTCGTAGGAACATGGAAAATGAAAATGATTGTTGAAAGAAAGTCACGAGAGGTCTACTATGCAGTTAATCCCAAAATTATTCATACACTTGGCAGATTTAGATTTAAAAATATTTTCACTTAGCCAGCTAGTTTGGTTCTGATTGAAAATTTGACAAGTATATCTGAAATTATAATAAAAGATAACACTTTTTAAATGACCATTTCACCATTTAATCCCGATTTGTAATTATTTACCATCTTTTTGCATTTTTTCTTTTCATTGGTGGTTGGTGGCCCTAAGTAGGGCGATAGTTTCTCTATCAGAATGATCCATCTCAAAACATAATAATTTAGATTCTAACATATTTATGGGTCAGCCAAAATCCACGCTAAAGTTCAACTGAGAAACTGTGGCAACGTTTGAACTTTGTTAAAACATCTAGCTGTACAAAAATGTAAAAAAAAAAAAAAATCACATTTTATGAACAGCTTTGGAAGGCACATTTACATATTTGTTTTTAAACATGCAGATTTTTGTGGAATCACAGTAGATATGATAATCCTCCTTATTTAGCTGTTTACTGGGATCAGTTACTATGACTATAAATTTAATGGTCAGTTTGTGTAACCTGTCTGGATTACCAAGCTTGTTTTTGCACCTTTCTGCGCAGTTCCTCTGCAATCTATATTTTATCTGGACAGATGAAATAAAATCACACATTTCCCCCACTCTCTTAACTACTTCAGTCACCTGCAGGCCACAACAAAATGGCCACAATTTTCCAGATCCAACTCTGAAGGCAAACATCAAGACTGCTGTTGTAAAAAGTGTCCAATAAATGTTGGTATTGAATACTGCGTTTCAGGAGAGCTCAAAGTCAGACTTCACTGTGTTCGCTTGTGCCAACAATGCTGCTGAAGGAACCCCCAAAACATTAACATTAAGAAAACATTTTCAGGGATTTCTTGCTATTTATCTTAAAATTGGAAAACGACTACCTGAAGTTATACAAGAGCTTTAAAAAGTTCCAGTTTTGATATAGTATCATGCTAATTTTTAATGATACTATTCTCATTGTTTAATTTAAAGTGATGCCAGAAAAAAATGTGTTCCCATCCCGTTTCTATCTCTGGCCAAGTAATTGGTACATTTATTGTAAGCTTTTGTCTTACAATCAAAGATCAATAAAGAAATGATATTGAATAACCTAAAAATGTTATGTTATTAGTTTCACATCTGTAGGCACTGAATCAAAATATGTTTGAACAATTTTCCTTTCAGTTTGTCAGTAACTGTTGTTATACCATCAACTCATCATAAAAATTTCATAACTAATTTAGGTCGATTACAAACACTTGTAGGACACCTAATGAGATCATTCTCTATGCTTAGATTATACCTATTTGTATTTCAATGTAGCTATCAAATAAAATAATTTGCTGCTCTGCCAGTTTTATCCATTAAGCCTGCATTCAAACTGCACTTCTTTATTATAGAGGTTAATCTCTAAATTGGCTGCAGAAAGGAGTGAGAGTCATCTGGAATTATATCTTATTTCCATCACTTTGAGCCTCTATGGTTGTTTTCATCCTCATGTGATGTGGTTGGAGCTGAAAACTTTAGCACTCGTGATGCTCAGACCAGGTTTGTGGGTCTTCAAGAAGACATTGAAGGGTTAACCTGTCCATTTAAATAAGCTGTAGTGTCAAACTGAATCAATGCTGCATCCAATGTTGTACGAAATAATAGCAAATAATCTGAGATAACTAGTGGACTGCCCAGGCTTTGATCTTATCTGCATGATAAATTTACACTGGGACTCACTTTGACAGATTCACACTGAAGCTAATAATTGTTTGAAATCGAGTTCAACTGTTCAGAGTACCTCATTTTTTATGGTTGATGAAGCATTTTTGTGCAACGTTAACTTAATGGAACTTTCACCAGTCAGATCATGTTTCACATCACAATGCAAGACCTATTCGTAGCACAAAGCTGATCACATTAATACTCCACAATAATCTAAACCAAAAGCAAAGCGAACATATTTAAATGGCACAAAAACCATTAAATACCTTGTAGGAGTTGCCAGCAGTATTTGCATTCGTCATTAGTCCTTTTAGTGTTAAGTTCAATCAAGATCAAGTGTTTTTTTATTTATTTTATGAAGTCCTGTCAGAGCTTTTTATCGTGATTTCAGCGTTTCTTAAGGATATAAGAATAACTATTTTCAACCCCATGTTTTTACAACAAAAGGCTTTGTCACTGCATTCTGCTTCAGCCATGCTGCTGACTTATTTCACTGAATGTTGTTGGTGTTGCGGGATTAAACTTTTTCTTCCCTTAACAAACACATATATGCATTGTTTGGTATTGTACTTCATCATAAACTAACTCTTGCATGGGGATTTGTTACAAAACCTAAACCATGCATTTTGTTTCATACACACAACCCAATACATGCTCATGCTGTGTGTGGGGACAAAAACAGATTTCTGCTTTTATAAAACTATGACACATGACAACTTCAAACCACTTTTCAGCCTTCAAACCACATTTTAGTGAATTATGTAAACATTTGATTTTCAGAAATCCGCTTAATTTAAATCTGTGCATAATAACTGATTATGCAGGATCTTACATAAGGCTTAAATGTGTTTTGTTTCTTTCAGCATTGTATAAATTATTGCTGCCATTATTTACCACACTTGTGTTAACAGTAAATACTATTTCTAAAGATTCCTTTTTGACCTTCTGAAAAATAAGTGCCGCAGCTCCCTTCCTGAAGGCATATTTCAGTGATTATGTGACTGAAATGAGCAGAAGTTATGAACCAATGGAAGAAATTATGGTTCCTGGTTTGTTTTGTCGGGTTTGAACAGTATGTATTTCTTTTAGCTTGACTTTGTCTTTTGTTTTGTAATTCTTTTGCTGTTTTGATTAGTGATTATTGATTTCTTTCCCAGTTGTTTTTCTCCTTTTTGCCAATTTGTCCTCTTACATAATTGGTTAATTTTTCTGATGTTCCTCATCTTTGTGTCTTTGTTCTGTGTTGTATCATTATTCCAAGATGAATTTCCTACTTTAATTATCCCAGTTTACAGGCCATGTTTGCAACTGAACCTCACATTATGCATCGCTGCTCTTATTTTATTAGATCCTTGTATCCGGATATATTTCAAGACAAAAACTGCATTGTTCTTCTTATTTGTGGAAACACCTGGCTTGTTCTCCATTGAAAAGCGAGTCTATAAAAAATGATAAAAAATAAAAAAACTATGATGAGTAATATCAAATCAGTACAGAAATAAAGAGCAATCTTAACATGTTGTGGATAAGTAGAATCTACACTACGGAGTGAGGTGACTGAAAAATTGACTTTATGATGGCAGAGGGGCTTTCTGTGTGTTATGCATGTTACTCTGTCTACCTGTGTGGGATTTCTCCAAGAACTAGTGGTCTCCCACCATCCAAACAGCTGCATGCCAGGCTAATTGGTGTGTCCAAATGTGCTGTGAGTGTAAACCCCATGGTGAAGCTTGATGGCCTTTGTCAGCTTGTCTCCAGGACCTTTTTGCAAAAAAAAAAAAAGAGTGAAAAAGGAGTAGAAATGTATTTCTGCAATAATACTTGGAACTACAGTTTAATTAAGCAGTTCTAACAAGTATTTTGGTGAAGGTTTTGAAGTGATTGACTACAAAGTG